GATGCTTAACGACTGAGCCACCCAGGTGCCCCACAAACAGTGGTTTAAAACAACTGTCATCTCTTAGCTCATAGTTCTGTAGGTCAGAAGTCAAGGTGGCATGCCTAGATTCTCTGCTCAAGACCTCAAAAGGGTGAAATCAAAGTGTTGGCTAGATTGTGCACTCATCCAGAGCTGGAGGCCATCTTCCAAGCTCATTCAGACTGCTGACAGAATCTGTTCCCTGTGGTAGAACCAAGGGACTGCCTGCTTCCTTGTTGGCTGTCAGGTGAGGAACACTCTCGGCTCCTAGAGGCCACCTGTATTCCTTCTCATGTGGCCCCTTCCGTCTTCAAACCAGCAGGTCGAGTCTGCTCATGCTTCAAATCTCTCTGACTTCCCCTTCTGCAACTAGCCAGAGAAATCTCTCCATTTTCAGGGGTTCCTGTGATCAGGTTATCTTCCTATATTAAGGTGAACTGTGACAGACAGCATAACAATCCAATGGAGTGATTTCTTATCACATTCACAGGTTCTGAGAAATAGGTCATTAAATCTCAGGAAGGGGCATTTAGGAAACGCTGCCTACCCCATGTATTAAGTGGAGTGAACTTGTTCTATAACCAGGATAAGGTGCTAAAGAGATGTGTTTATCAGAGTGGGTTCTAGAGCCAGGTTAATATTGTGGATCCACTACTTATTATCTCAGAGACACTGAGCAAGTTACTAAAGCTTTTGTGGGTTCATCTTCTTTTCAATAAACTTGGCATAATAATACCTAGGTCATCAGTTTTTAATAAAAATTAACTGTACTAATACATGTAAATCTCTTACAGCACAGGAAGTACTCACTAAATATTATCTATTAATATTAATATCTTATTTTTAAGTCTACTCCAAGCCCTTTACTCAATATTTATTTAACAACCATATTTCAATAAAACATGATAATATGTTAAGTAATCCTGAATAATATATATGTCATGATTTCCCTTGATGTTTTGACTACTTTTTACAGAAAATGATATTTCAGGAGTTGTTTCAAATAAAGCAACATCAAAACTTTATATTATCTTAAATGCCAGGCACCTTGTCCTTACCTAGTACATAGTCTATGATTTTATTTCACATTATTCTATATGCCAAGAATGAGATTTATCTTTGAATCACATAACTCCATTTAGTTAGGAAATTTCACAAATTGCTTTAGATTCTATTGAGTTATACTACACATTTTATAAAATAATATTGTTACTGTACAAAGTTATAGCTCACAGAATAGCAAAATTCCCTACAAGAGATAATGCATCCTTCAAAATGCTTTAACATAGTAGTCTAGAGTTTAAAACACAAAGCAATAGGGATCTAACCAGTCCTAATAGACCTCCATAGCCAGATGTGCTCATTATACCTGTTTTAATGGACCTAAACATTATTTTAAGTTGGTTGCTTAGATTTATGGTTTGGAATCTCAGAGTGGATGCTGTCCAGTTTATCAAAGTTGTCAGGACTCTATTGTGTCTGCAGTCACCCATTTTAAAGTCATGCAGGCAGCTGAGATAACTAGTGATAGTTTCATGAACAGAATAAATCCAAAGTAACTATATCCTAAAATAAATTTTTATTTTTAATCTCTCTCAAACTTATGACTTATCACAAGAGTCCACTCTTACTCATATTCTGTTTTTAATTTATGTAACGACAAATATTGTTTTTACTGTAAGGAGAAACCTAGGGTAACATTTTTCAGAGAAGATGGCTTTGTTCTTCCTTTGACTCAGGCAACCACTAAGGGAATATATATACTCTAATAAGCAAAGAAAACGAACAGTATTCATAAACAAATTGATAAATTATAAAAAATAGTAAGAATAGAGAAGTTTATACAGATAGCTAATGAAGTATATTGGTGAGAAATTTGCTTTCTTTCTTTCTTTTTTTTTAAAGATTTGTTTATTTACTGGGGAGGGGGGAGAAGCAAAAGGAGAGGGAGAGTCCTAAGCATACTCCACGCTGAGTGCAGAGCCCCATGTGGGACTCCATCTCACGACCCCGAGATCATGACCTGAGCTGAAACCAAGAGTCAGATGCTTCACTGACTGCACCACCCAGGCGCCCCAAGAAAATTTCTTAAAGAACATTATTATTAATAGCTTTCTTTAGAAAAAGAGGAAGCATGTTATTAGCTTTGTGATCATTAAAAATGAGATAAAACATTCACATTGCATGCTAAGAAAATAACCAATTAGATTGACTATAAGTAAGCTTTACAAATCAAGAAATCTTTCTTTGTTTTGTATTACTAAACTTTCTATAACTATGCAAAGTTAAACAGTGGAGTGAAAATAGACCTTGTCTACATTCTAATCCCCAGAATCTATGAACATACTAGCTCATATAGCTAACTATGTGTGTGTGTGTGTGTGCGTGTGTGTGAGGGTGTGTGTTAAGGTTGTGAAGGGAATTAAGGCCACTAATTAGCTGACTTTAAGCTGACTATTCTACATTAAATAGGAATATTCTACATTCACTCAGATTATATATGGGTGAGCCCAATGTAATCATAAGAATCAATGTAGAGATGCAATGTTGCTGGCTTTGAAGATGGAAGAAAAGGTCATAAGGCATATGGATGACCTGTGGAAAATGGTAAAGGCAAGAAATTCACTTCTTCCCTAAAGTCCCTGTCAACACCTTGGTTTTAGCACAGGAATACCTATTCTGAACTTCTGACCTCCAGAGCTGTAAGATAATAAATGTGTATTTTTTTAAGTTACTAAGTTTGAGATAATTTTTCATAGCAACCATAGGAAATTAAAACAGTCAAATTTGAAAAAATGAAGACAAGGATGTACTCCATTTCTGATGTAACAACTTTAGGATAAAATGAGTAGGTTACCTTTGAAGACTCAGAGGGAAAACACTATAAAAGTAAAATATCCTGCCATATGTTGGGATTTAAGTTATATCTAGCTTGTTTGGATAAGACTTTGAAACTCAGATCAAATATTCACTTTCCCCTTTGAATAACAACACTTTTGGTTGCTTAGAAGCCATTAATTTCACACATTTCCAACTATTTCCTTTAGAAGGATGACTGGACCTCAAATTCTTTGCAAAGATTTTGACCAAGGTTTGGGACATTATGAAAAGTACAGTTGTACACATACTTCCTTGTCTACATATACCTGTAAAATATGGGTCTCATGGAATTGGGTTCGTTAGGATTAAGTTACACTATTTCTTCTACTATCATTTGTCAAGGACTAGTCATAAGGGAGAGGTACTTCCATATAACATGATTTTTAATTAGGTATTCATGAAATCCCAATGTTATCAAGCTTTGAGAATTCAGATGACCTTGAAATTATTGGACAAATTAGTTCACCTTGGAATTTTGACTTGTTCATCATTCAATAAAACATTAAATATAAAATATAGTAAATATACTTAAGCATAAAATAAGCACATTTGTTTAAATAATTTTTCTTATGTTACTAAATAATATAAATAACTTTTATGAACATTACAATTTATTTTTATTCCAATAATAATAATAATTTTATAATACTTCATATTTAGTTATATGGAAATTAGCTTGTATTTTCAATAACATAAAAAAGATTTAATGCATCTAACCTAGTATCTATATTATTCTTTGCTACCTTTGAATAAAAATGGAGCATCATTGTATTATTTTTACTTCAATTAGCAAAACTTCTCCTACCAAGTTATTCATATTTGTTTAGTTCAGTGCTGGTTACTTTCTAAATAGTAAATGAGTTCCCCTGATGAATGCTTTCTCTAGTTTGCAAACTTTTATTATGTTACAAGTAAAATACATCTTTAGTGAGTAAGTGAAAGTACACAAGAATGTTGACTCCCTTTTTAGGGATATCTAATCATTGAAGATAAAACATTGGTCAATGTGAGTCTGAACATTAAGATCAAACACTGAAAAGCAAGATTAGTGTTTATAAGCTATATCTTGTCATATAAACATTTGTGAACTTGTTCAAGGCAGACATTTTTAATTGAAATGTATAAATGAATCTATGAAAATATATCTAATCAGCAATTTAACTTATTTCTTCTTTCAATTTCTATATTGCTATCAGATTTATTGCATTTCTCAAATTTATGTATAAAAAGCTTTTATGAAAGATAAACTATTTTATTTAGAGATTATAACATGATTGATAAAGGATAGAAAATCATTTTATGTCTCTAAATTCTATTAAGCTATTCTCCAGATGCAAAAAAAAGGTTTAAAAAAGCATAGATGACATTTATTTACATAACTTCAAATTGACTTTTAAATTGTTTTGTTATTTTGGGCCGCCTGGATAACTGTCAGTTAAGCGTTCGGCTCAGCTCATGATCTCGGGGTCCTGGGATTGGCTCAGGTCATGATCTCAGGGTCCTGGGATCGAGCCACACATTGGGTTTCCCTGCTCAGTAGGGAGTCTGCTTCTTGCCCCTCCCCTGCTTGTGCATACTCTGTCTCTCAAATAAATAAAATCTTTAAAAATAAATTAAAGTAAAATAAAATGTTTTGTTATCTTAAGGCATAAAGAAAATTTTAAAAGAAACATGGTAAAGAATTTATTAAATTCTTTTATCTTCATTTTCAGAAATTATACAGGAATTATATAGAAATTATACTAGGATTATTATTATTTTTTTTTATGGCAAACAGTGATAGAAAGAAGTTGTAAAATCTACGGACAGAACTGTGATATGACCAACAATGATTTCATTGAATCAATAGTTTAGCATAAGACCATTATGTAATTCAAACAAGCTGTAGATGTGTATCTATTTTGATCATTAGTGTCTGCCAAAAAGATAAAATAATGTAGTTAAATTACTACTCCCTTTGGTTTTCTGCCACATTTTCTTTAAGAAAAATAAATGTGACAAGAGTGTTTTCACATCTTAATTTGTACATTTGTACATTTGGGCAGGTTGTATGTTGGATTAGTAGTAAATGGTGACTATTTGATTTTATGTTTTATCAGGAGCTACAACCATAGAGAAATATGACCTCAGAACAAATTTGTGGATCCAGGCAGGGATGATGAACGGCAGGAGATTGCAGTTTGGTGTGGCTGTTATTGATGACAAACTCTTTGTAATTGGAGGTCGAGATGGCTTAAAGACATTGAACACTGTTGAATGTTACAATCCCAAAACCAAGACTTGGACTGTTTTACCGCCAATGTCAACACATAGACATGGTCTAGGTAAGATCTCTTACTTTACTGATACTATTTTTAGAACATTTAATGATAGTGAAAATGTATGTTAAAATATAGTATTACTGTCATCAATTATCATTAACTTTAGGTAAATTACAGGCTTATTTGGAGCATTTTTAAGTTCTTGACATTTTCCTGGGTTGATCAATGTGCATTAAACTGTTGAGAAAGATGTTAAAGATACCAAAATAAGTAAGCCTCAAGCTATCCTAAAGTTTTCACAATCTGACATTCATACACTATGTAAAGTTCAATATAAAAAAAAAAAAGTAGAACTATCACAGAAAGGCCAGAGTAATGCAGCCCAGAGGAAGAAATGGTTAATGTGCATTGAGAAAAATTTAAAATTGAGGTGACTCACTTCCACATTGCTGGATAGACAAGCCTAACCATTCTTTTGCATGTAAGTAATCCCATCTTGAAAACTTTATGGGGGAAGATTTAGAGAAAGAGTAACATCTTATTTGGCACCAGGGGTCAATAATATAGGATTCAAGTGATTTCTACTATGGAGTAACCTGGAGATGGGGAGAAAGATACTGGGATTCAGAAGATCTGGGTGTGAGTCTTGAAGCTACCATATTGACACGATTTGAGGTCAGCACTTAAACTATGAGCCCTCAGTTTCTTGATTTGCCACCAGTTCAAAGTTATTAAGTAGATAAAAATCTAATGATGCAATGAATATGAAATCACTGTGTAAATTGTAAAGTTCTATACAAATATTTGAAAAAGAGGAATGTAATAATGGCTAACAGTTTCTGAATTTGTATTTTGTATCTTGGGGATTACAAAGGGAAGCACAAATTACTTTTTTTGAAGACCTGAAATATGTCAGGTAGTCAACTGTCTTTCATATTTAGAATATACACATTAGAAAGGTATCAGGGTTTAATTGCAAATCCACTGATATAGACATTCATAGGCAAGCAAAATTATAGATCATTTAAAAAAACACATATTAGTGTTTTGAGGTCTTCAGCACTGCATATCCCATTCTTGTCTACTCTACCATCAATCTAAAAAAAAAAATTAAAAAAATAAGTAAAATAGCTCTGAACTAAAGCAACTTACCTTTCTTATCTTCTGGTTTACCTCCCCTTTCTTCACATGAGTCATTATTAAATTAAAGAATAGTAATAAGTGTGTGAGACCTTTTCAAGTTCTAAAATTCTGTGCTCTAAATTAAAACCATATAATTTATTTAAATCACATGGAACTCAATTATGATATGGAAAACATGAACAGCATATGATTCTTCCCAGCTAATATTTATGAGTATAAAATATTTCTTATATGATTTTTTTTCAAATATATTGGAGGATTTTTGCTTTTATATCCATGTGAAAGCTGTATGTGTTGTTTTTATTATCTAGCTATCAAATTTCCTATTTCTGTTGGAGTGAAATACAGAGAATAAGCACTCTGGATTAGAATTTTTGGAATTTAATGTCTTCTCCATTTTTGTTTTAGACAATTCAATTCTTTTCTATCAAGGTATGCTGAAGTTCAATTATGTAGGTTATTTGCATGCCAAGAAAACATACTTCAAAATATTTCACCAAGAATACATTTTACATGATGTTAATTTCAAGTGTACAAGGTGATGGTTTGCCTCGAAATACTATCACACAGGTTTTGGTCTTTTCAGGATCAAGATTGGGCAAAATGGTAACCTTGGATATTGTTTTATAGTTTTTCATATTTGCTAAAGAGTTTATTGTAAAGGTCCATGTGGAAGTAAGGCTGCATAGTGAATTATATGAGCTAATAAGTATCACAGATATCTGACATGTAGTACAGCATTTCTCACAAGTTTTAGTGACCCAAAAGTAAGAGTAGTCAGTATTTTCATGTCTCGGCCTCTCTTGCTTTGTGTTTTTTGTTCTGCTTCACTTCTGTCTTCAAGTGGATCACCTCTCCTCCATATCTCATGCCACTGGTTTCCTCCCTGTTTTACTTCCATGTGATTATTGCTTCCTGTCAGTTTTTTTAAAATTCTCTACTACAATACAGCTCAAGATCTGATCTTGTTGAGTTAGTAGAGAGGCATCATGTCTGGACACAATTCTCATCTCAATGTGCTTCATAGATTGCTAGCAATGCCCAGTACACAGAAAACTACCTTCAACTTGGATGCCAATCCAAAGTCCAATCAGCTGAAGCCAGATTGATAGCATCACAAGACACATGTGTGTTCTCTGAGGAAGCTGAGTGTTTCCTTTACGATCAATCACATTCCTTATCATCAGTTGAATCTCAGGAAGTTCATCATTCTGTGTCATACTCAACTGCAATAAATCTCTTTGGCGTAAGATTCTTGTTCCTTCAATATTACACATCAATCTTTGATTTACCTTCTTTCTTCCAAGGACTACCATTATACTGATGTGGATATTTCTTATTTAATCCATCATATCTTCCAAGTTTAATTTTATATGTTTCCCTTTATCCCTTCCTGATAGCTAATTATACTACTTAGTGCTACAAATTGTTCTTAATCTGTGTGCACTGTGGTATTTCTCCATTGTATTGATGTCTTGATCTTAATTAATTTTGTTTTTTACATACTATTATTCCTGTTTGGTAATTCACTATAATTGCTTTCTTCTCCATGTATTAATATCCTTTCTTATCTCTGTGAGGCTATTTATTATGCCTATTTCAAATTCCTATCTGCCTCTTTAATTAATTCTTTTTTATTTATATGTGAGCATCTTCCTTCTCTCAGCTCTCTCTCCTCTTACACTTCTCTTTCTCCTGTTAGTCGTCCTTTTTCTACTCCTTCTGTTTCCCCACTTCCTTTTTTTCCTCTTCTTCTTCCTCATATCTATTTTTTTTCTTCCTCCTTTTCTTTCTCCTTATCTTCTAATTCTATTTAACAGTAGTTGTAATCACTGAAATATGTAATTTTTAAATCTATTTTTCAACTGAAATTTTCAAGTCATATGTATATATCAGATACTTTGGGTAATTGAATGGAAGTTAAGGCATATGCCATTCTCTGTATCTTCCCAAAACATTCAGGAATGGGTGGGGAAATTATGCCAGGGTATAGAGCCCTGACTCTGCAAGCTGACTGCTCAACCTATCTGCTGTTGTTCCTAACACAAAACATCATGGGACACATCTATTACTTTCATTTGCACACAAATGTGCTTGAGGCTTCCTTCATCTATGATGTCCTAAATATAGGATTGGGAGCTTGGATAGGAAGAGAAAATTCTGAACCAGCAAGTGCTGTTAACAGTTCCTCCTCTAAGCTGGGCTCTCAGGACATCCTGACATCATCCAGCCAATTACAGCAAGCTCTTCATGGGTGTTGCTCTTTCACTGCCAAACAGTGTATAAGATGCAGTAGCTCTTCATTGGCCACATCAAAAGAGCACAGATCAAATTTTCCTCCAGGATATTCCCCCAGGGTAGTGCCATGAACTTTTGTCTCACTAGTAAGTCACAACTGACTTCTGTTTCTCTAATTATTTTTTACAGTCCCGATGTCTGTTTTTCAAAAACACACCATGACTCTCACTTTCATGCAATCCCAAGGAATGGGTCTGAGTGTAAATCAACAGCCTTCTTTGCTAGTTTTTTATTTGTTTAGAAATTAGAATTTCCCATTTTATTTGCTATATAGTTATCAGTACCTATTCTGTGGTACACAGTGAAATTACAAATTTGACTATGTAATCCCATATTATACTTTCAAGTGACTAGAAGTTACAGGCTAGAGTAAAATTTTTAAAAATGTGTAAAATAAAAATTCAAGACATTTTTGACCTATATAGCTTTTTTCCTCCCTTGATTTGTATAGGAAAAACAAAAACTTGCATTATTTTTTGAGAAAGTCACATGAGTTTTTTGGTTGCTAAAGATGATATGACCAAAAATGTTTCATAGCTATCAATAAATGAAATAAGCTCCTTCTGCTGAATAAAATAGCATAGAAAAAATTATATGCATATTAAGTCTGGATGTCAAGGGAGCAATGCATCTGCCTAGAGAATTAAACTAATTAAGACCACGGTTCTCTCAATATGCTAAGAGTCTTTATTTTGACATTTATGTCTTTGAAGCACATAATTCTAGATATCACGCTTTTTTCCCACCACATTTCATATTATATAAAACCGAATAAGACATTACTGCAATACAGTGTTTACAATTATGTCTTTTTAGGAGAAATTGATAAAGAGTAAGAGCTATGGTTTATTATGGATTTTCTATATGCTAGGCACCATATTGTATATTAAATATATGATAGGAGTTGCTTTAGTTGTTTTTGTTTTTACTTTATTTAGTTGTCAGTTGAGGTAAAATTCACATACCATGAAGTTAGGTTTTATTTTATTTTTCCTTAAAGATTTTATTTATTTATTTGAGAGAGAGAGAGAGGAAGAGGGAGCAAGAGCAGGGGAGGGGCAGAGGGAGAAGCAGGCTCCCCTGTGAGCAGGGAGCCAGACGTGGGGCTTGATCCCAGGCCCCTGGGATCATGACCTGAGCCAACGGCAGATTCTTAACTGACCGAGCCACCCAGGTGCCCCTAAAGTTAAGTTTCAAAGTACAGAATTGAGTGCTTTTGAGTATATTCACAGTTGTGCAGTCTCACCCCTATCAATTCCAAAATATTTGTATTATTGTAAAAAGAAACTCTTGTTCTTCATTGTCCCATCCTCCTAGCCTTTACCAATAATTAATCTACTTTCTGTCTCTATGAATTTGCCTATTCTGGGCATTTCATATAAACAGAATCATACAATTTGTGGCCTTTTGTTTATGGCTTCTTTTACATCGATTGCATAATGTTTCAAGGTTCATCCTTGTTGTAGCATGTATCAGTTCTTCATTCCTTTTATGGCTGAATAATATTCCATTGTTAGAATTTGCTACATACATCATGTTTATACATCATAAACAGAAGAACATTTGGATTGTTTCCACTTTTCGACTACTATGCATAAAATAAAACTGCTGTGAACATTCAT